TGTTCCAAGAATACTGTTCAGTAAGTTACCAAATATTGTTCCAAGAATACTGTTCAATAAGTTACCAAACATTGTTCCAAGAATAATGTTCCGTAAGTTACCAAACATTATTCCAAGAATACTGTTCAATAAGTTACCAAACACTGTTCCAAGAATACTGTTCAATAAGTTACCAAACACTGTTCCAAGAATAATGTTCAATAAGTTACCAAACATTATTCCAAGAATACTGTTCAATAAGTTACCAAACATTGTTCCAAGAATACTGTTCAATAAGTTACCAAACACTGTTCCAAGAATACTGTTCAATAAGTTACCAAACATTGTTCCAAGAATACTGTTCAATAAGTTACCAAACACTGTTCCAAGAATACTGTTCAATAAGTTACCAAACATTGTTCCAAGAATACTGTTCAATAAGCTACCAAACATTGTTCCAACTTATTGAACAGTATTCTTACCAAACATTGTTCCAAGAATTCTGTTCAATAAGTTACCAAACATTGTTCCAAGAATAAATACTGTTCAATATAGTTACCAAACATTGTTCCAAGAATACTGTTCAATAAGTTACCAATGGTTTATCCAAGAATACTATTCTATAAGTTACTAGTCATTGTTCCTGCTTTTAACTATCTAACGAGTTTCTTCTTAAGGATATTATCTTCACATAACCAGTACATCCCAGGATAAGTCACAAACAAAAGATACTAACAATTCACCTAAATAATGCAACAAAACTTGAGCTTCCAATGAGATACCGTCCAACAGATACAAACAAGAAGTAAAACATCTGTTGAAATAAAAACACAAACCATTTATTAGGGACGCCGATTCACATAAGCTGTTATTTCCATATTTTCTTTTGCTAAGAATATGATGCATCAAGACCGCCTTAGTGAATTTATTGAATCGTTGTCACCCCCAACACTGTACTTTAATTTAATGGAATGCCCTCTAAACCCATTTTAATTACGTTTTTATAAACAAAACCTGAGTTATTTACTTAACATTTTTTTACTTATATTTTGAATAAGATAAGCGACTTTTTTTTCATAGTTTCGGGGATTCTCTTATAAACTTGTGACAGTTTTATTCATCTTCGTCTGAAATATTAAATCTCTATTCCATAATAGTGTCCACTTTTTACATAGAAGTATCATTATCTTTACCACTAATGTGCATTACCGAAAAAGTATAAGTTCCGGGAAACACAGTGACCTATACCCTTTCCAGAATCAATAGATTTCATTAGATATAATACACATAGAATGGTTGCAAAATCTGTAACACACAACAAACACATATAACAATAGCACACAAATTTCGTTAGGCCAGCAGTGTATTGTTTTTCTGCATAAGGACAATTGTCAAGTGTGTTTACAATATACTACAGTGTTCTACGAATAATTCTATTGTAAATAAAACTAGAAATACAGATAGTTGACAACGTCCTCTTAAACGTGTTTCCTAAACTTACTTTCAAATATTTACTTAGAACCTTAAATAACTTTTCATTATAACAACTCATGCGAATTGTGCTAATTGTGGAAGTGAATTTATAATATCCGATAACACGAAATTTTCGAATTTAGTTTCGACTCCTAAGTATCAACATAAATAACCTGGAAATTATTTACAAGCGATGACGTTTACATGAACGGAAACTAAAAGTATTATAACATTAAAAAATATACGATTAACTGTTAATAAAATACATCAGAACATTTACATTCGTCAAGCTAAAGTATGAATGTATAAGTATAGAGAAAGTATAATTTTTTTTTCCCAAATAAATATTTGCAGAGACAAAAGCTGGATTATGGATTATTCTCGTAATAGTTAATAGATTTAGACTACATTAAAGCAGTACGGCTTTAAACGTCCAGAATGTCGACAAGTTTAACATACCAAAGTGTAAATACGGCCGTCTCACGTTTACCGTAAATGTGTTCGTTATATTACATTTTTTATACATCTGTTTGTTTACTTAATAATCGAATTTATCGTTCTCTAGCAGAACATCCAGTGACAAACATGTGCAAATGATGCAACTTTTACAAGTGCGTTTCTCCAATAAACGTAAAGTACCAACTTACAATTTATTACCACTCCACACGAGATACTATAAACCACACGCAGAACATCAAGACACTCACGAAACAAAAGCACACGCCCTAGCAATTATATCAAAACGAGTTATAATTATACCTTTCTTTTCCACACTCATCAGTACTGAAGATGCTTTTCTACAGAACAAAGGCAAATGGACAGAAAGAGAGGAGAGAACAGTAACCAGAACTCTTCTCTAACCATTGACTTTTTTTTTTTCCTTCTACCAAAACCCACGGTAATTACCAAATGACATTAGAATATCGTGTTCATTGCTACTTCGGTGAAACAGTAAATCCAATGGATAAAGTACACCAGTTAAATGTGAAATCGATAAACATAAAATTTGGAGGACTACATTATTCGTTCATATATGAACCACGGCAGTAAACATGTGAACTATAATTAACAGCACTAATGACTTTCGCGTTAAACATCACACCGTTCATTTAACCCTTACAAATGTATGTATAACTACTTTAGGTGAAAAGTAACCTTTTCAAACTCCCCCCCCCCCAAAAAAAAAATCTTATACTTCAGCCTGTTAAGTAAGTCACGTGCTTTTGATGACGTTGATGAGACAGACTTGGACTTTTAAATTGCCCTTTAATGCCAGATATAAAGTTTGTTCATTGTTTACTTTTTTATTTTATTTCAATGTGAGGAATGGTTTGTCTGACTTGGACTTTTAAATTGCCCTTTAATGCCACATATAAATAGTTGATCACTTTCTTATTTTATTTCAATGTGAGGAATGGTTTGTCTGAACCATACCTTGGACTTTTAAATTGCCCTTTAATGCCACATGTAAATGGTTGATCACTTTCTTATTTTATTTCAATGTGAGGAATGGTTTGTATGAACCATACCTTGGACTTTTAAATTGCCCTTTAATGCCACATGTAAATAATTGATCATTTTCTTATTTTATTTCAATGTGAGGAATGGTTTGTCTGAACCACATCTTGTTTAATTAGTTTTGTGTTTGAGGTTAACAAGTCACGAACAGATACTACCGATCGCGTCTAGTTCAATTTTTATGTGAACATTTCCATTTGAGAGGGGACTTACACTAGTGTTGATTATTTGTTCAACATCGCTTTGTATTGTTGACTGATAAGTTGTAGACAGCTACATCCCAAACGTAATTGTAGTTTAATTTTTCTTTTTATTTACTTTTTAGCTCAGCAGTAAATTTGCAGGCTAACGTCGCTAAAAAACAGGTTTCTATACTCGTGGTGCCCAAAGCATGAATAGCCCATTGTGTACCTTTAAACAACCAAACCAATACTTTTTTATACTGGACTGTGATGACAATTAACTTCAAGCATGATGTTTTAAAGCAAGAAAGACCAACAGAAAAAGCTAATATGAGAAAAGAGCCCGTATGAGAAAAAAACACACACCCAATA